CCAGCCTGAACTACGTAGTGAGATCCTGTCTCAAAAAACCCAATCAGTCTATCAATCATATCAATTTGTTGAGGGGAGAGACAACCCACAGAATGGGAAAAAAAATTTGCCAGCTATTCCTCAGTCAGAGGACTAATATCTAGAATACACAAAGAACTCAAAAAAGGTAACCACGTAAATTTAAAAACCTACTCAAGAAATGGGCAAGAGAAATGGACACATGACAGAAGACATACAAATGGTCAACAAATCATGAAAAGAAAAATTTCTTTAAAATAGCAAGGGAGGGGGCCGGGGATTTAGCTCAGTTGTTTCGCCACCTGCTGCGCAAGCGCAAGGACCAGAGTTCAATCCCCAGTAGCCCCCCGCAAAAAATACCAAGGGATCAGGAGAAATCAATCCAGCAGCTGCTAGATGATGCAAAAAAGAATAACATAAGAGCGGCCAGGGATTTAGCTCAGTGGTTCCACGGCCTGCCTCAAAAGCACAAGGTTCTGAATTCGATCCCTGGCACCAAAAAAAAAAAAGAATAACATAAGATTGGTCAGAGTCAATGAAAAAGCAGGAGATAACACAAGTGACACAAATGGTCAACAAATACATGAAAAAAATGTTCAACATCTCTGACCATTAAAGAAATACAAATTAAAACAACACTAAGATTCCATCTTATTCCAGAAAAAAATGCCAATCATTAACAAATCAAACAATAACAAATGCTGGTAAGGCTGTATTGAAAAACAAACCATTCTTCACTGTTGGCGGAAATATAAACTAGTACAACTATCATGAAAGTCAGTATGGAGATTTCTCAAAGAACTAAAATTAGAAATTCCATATGACCCAGAAATCCTCCTGCTAGGTATCTTCCCCAGAGAGCTAAAGACAACATACTATAGTGATACATGCATACCACCACAATTCATTAGAGCTAAATCCTAGAAGCATCCAATATGCCCATCAGCAGACAAACAGATAAAGAAAATGTTATATCTGTACACAATGGAATACTACTCAGCTATTAAAAATGACAAATGTGGGGCTGGGGATTTAGCTCAGTGGTTTCGCCGCCTGCTGCGCAAGCGCAAGGACCCGAGTTCAATCCCCGGTACCAAAAAATGACAAATGAGCCAGGGAGGTGGCTCATGCCTGTAATCCCAGCACTTAGGAGGCTGAGGCAGGAGGATCACTGTGAGGTCCAGGCTAGCCTGGGCTACATAGTGAGTCCAAGGCCATCCTTAACTACACAGTGAGACCTTGTCTCAAAAAAAAAGACAAATGTGAGACATTTGTACAAAAATAAATGTACCTGGAAAATACAATGTTGATAGAAATAAACTATACACACAAGTTTAAATACCATCATGGTATCTCTCGTTTGAGTGAGGCAAAGTACAAAGAGAATAATAAAGGATGGATGGAAGAGGACAAGAGAATGAATCTCTCTCTCTCTTTTTTTTTTTTTGGTACCGGGGATCAAACTCAGGTCCTTGCGAGAATGAATCTCTTGCAATAGGGAAGTGGTCCAGGGGAACAAAGCTGAAGGGTGAGGAGGGGAAGGAAAAATAAGTAGAATAAAGATAAGCCATGTACAAGAACCTAATAACATCTTTAATGTAAATATTATAGGCCATAACATGAGCTATGACAAGTATTATCAACAAGAATGAAAAATGGGATAGGGGAATTGGAGGAGGAGGGAGGGAAGGTAAGCAAAGGGGATAAGAAAAAGAAATAAGCTGTAGTATGTACATGCAGCCACTCCCCAAGATGACTGTAAACTGTATAAACTGCAAACATGTACTAATAAAATTTTAGAAATTTTTTTAAAGTTAAAAAATTTAAAAGAGCTGGGAGTGTAGGTCAGTATGAAGGTTCTGGGGTTCAATCCCCAGTATCCCAAAAAATGAAGAAAGAAAAAGAAGTCAGGTATGATGGTCACACCTGTAATTTCAACACTCTGGAAGGCTGAGGCAGGAAGATTGCAAGCGTAAACTCAACCTAAGCAACCTAGGGACTTAGTGAGACCCTGTATGAAAATTTAAAAGTAAATAAATAAAAGGAGGACTGGAGATATAGCTAACTGGGAAGCTACTGGGTTTAATGTCCAGTACTACCAAAAAAATAAAATATAAAAAGTGGGATTTGGAAGCACAGTTCAGCGGCAAGCATGAGCCTTAGGGTATGTGAGACCCCAGGTTCAATTCCCAGCAACAATAACAGAAAAGAAAAAAAATAAAAATCAATTACTTAAGCTCTGTATTAAGTATGACAGAAGTTGCAACAAAATTTGTGTTTGAAACCTTTTAAGCACAGGTAAATTCTAATGAAGATCATTAATCTTTCTCAAACTGTCAAGTCCCTAAGCACATTAGAGCACATGATTGTATGCTTAGCCCAAACAAACAAAAGACTAAGTTAAAGCCTAGGTAGCCTAATTTTAATCACTAGACAACCAAGGGAACCAGGAATACTGGCACTCACCTAAAATCCCAGAACTCGAGGCTGAGGCAGTAGGGAAACAACTTCTAATGTACAATAGCACTGTAGGATAACTATGATTGGCCACAACTTATTTTATATCTCAAAACAGCTAACACAGAGGTGGATGTTTCCACACAAAGAAATGATAAACTTTTGAGGCGATAGGTACACCAATTACTCTGGTTTGATCATTATACACTGTATGTATTAAAACTGTACAATGTACCCACAAGTATGAATGATTACTATTACCAATGAAAATTGTTTAAATATAGGAAGGATAAAAGGAGATAATAGCCCCGCTGGTGATCCAAGCCTGTAATGCCAGCACTTGGGAGGCTGAGGCAGAAAAATCACCTGTGAGTTCGAGGTAAGCCTGGGCTATATAGTGAGCTCAAGGATAGCCTAAATTCCAAAGTGAGACCCTGTCACCCCCCCCCAAAAAGGATATAGGTCAAGAATTTAAAAGTCTACTTTTCTCATGGGAATAGTACCACACACCTGCAATTCCAGCACTTGGGAGGCTGAGGCAGGAAGATCACTGCTAATCTGAGGCTACCCTGGGCTACATAGTGAGTTCAAGGTCAGCCTGAACTACCTAACAAAACCCTGTCTCAAAAAATAAAACAAAAAATTAAAAGCCCATTTTAAAAAATATTTTACAATTAGTTTTATATAAAAGTGGAAAATGCAAAGAATAATCTTGGCAGAAAGTCTCCAATTTAAATTCCTGTCTCAGGGCTAGGAATGTAGCTCAGCTGTAGAGTGCTTGCCTAGCATGCATGAGTCCCTTTAATTCAATCCCTAGCACTGGCCAAAAAAAAAAAAAAAATCAATCCTTTTAACAATACATGCATCATTCCCACTTTGCCCAATTATGCTGAACACCTAAGGACAGAGCAGATAACCTACTGATTTTTACAACTAGCAAAGACTCACAAAAAGAAGGGAGGAAGATATGATTTTAAAACAAAATATGAGGGCCGGGGATTTAGCTCAGTGGTTCCGGCACCTGCCTTGAAAGCACAAGGTCCTGAGTTCCATCCCCGGTACCAAAAATAAATAAATAAATAAAAACAAAATATGCTCCCTAGATGTCAACTCTAAGAAAACAAATATTTTTGAGAATAAATGTATCAAGACTACATTTTCAACCAGGTGTGGTAGAACAGACCTGTAATCCCAGCACTTGGGAGGCTGTGAGAGGTCGTATGAGGCCAGCCTGAGCTGCACAGTAAGTTCAAGGCCAGTCTGAACTACATGGCAAGAACCTGTCTCAAACTGCCCCCCCCCCCAAAGACTACATTCTCTGGGCAGTTTATTAAATTATCAATCACACACTAATTCACAATTAACAAAATCTCCTAGAACTTTATTAGTTTGCCAGTGACTGGTACTGGTATCTCCATTTTGAGTAGAAATTTTGAAGCAGATTCATGTTAAAAAAAACTTGGAAATGACTAAGCATCACTGAGCTATCAAAATCCCCTATACCCAGAGCAAAAATTTAGGTTAATATAGGAAGTTGTGTCCCCTCAAAAAAAGGCAATTTTCACCTTTCTGTCACAGTATAAACAAAATTTGTACCACCTCACTGTCACTTAATAGGCTGGTTGTTTCCTGATTTCCTCCCATATATAACATACAACAGAACATCTTATTAACCTGGTATGTCTTATATTTAATTACTTTGCACAGTCATCTTTTTCAAAAACTAGTAACTTGAGGATCAACTATTCTGCCCTGTCCTGTGCGAGACAGCTTATACGAGTCATCTCTAACCTCCACTTAACGAACGTCCCAAAGAAGATAATACTACTCTTACTTAACAGGAGAATAAATTCTGCCCCGAAAAAGTCTACTTATGTTAACTAGAAGGGTCTCGAAGACAAACGCAATACAGGACGCGCAAGCCACGCTTCTTGGCTGGGGACACGTGGTCACTTGAACACACCCTCGCGCCAAACGCAGCAACCAGACTTCCTCGCCATTACCATAAACCTACAGCGGCGCTGTGGCGTAGTGGCAGGGTACTTGCTTAGCACCATAGAGGTCCTCGGTTCGAACCCCACCATCGAAAATGGGCAGCATTGCCGTTGTACTTTTAAAAAACCAAGTATTGGGCTAGGGATTTAGCTCAGTGGTTCCGGCACCTGCCTTGCAAGCGCAAGGTCCCGGGTTCGATCCCTGGTACCAAAAAAACCCAAGTATTTCTCCAATCTAAAACTACTTTCAATACAGTACTCTAGAACAATGAAAAACCACGGTGAGGGTGTGGTTATTCATTTCAACACTGTGATCCTTAGGAGATTCCCACCTTCGTCGGTGGGAGTCATGCAGTCCTCACGACCTATACACAGGTGACAAATCATATCAGCGGCACCCTGCGCCATTAGAGAGAGGGTCAAATCAAGTTTGGTTTCATTTGGCTCAAATGAAAGGCCTACTGCAAACGAGGGAGTTCTCCTATGGTAAAGTTCACTTGCTTGGCTTCATAATTCGTCAGCAGCGCTTACCTGCTCGTAGGAGCCTTTTCTTGGGGTTCCGCTCCCCTGAAAACCGCCACGGGCATATCTGTGGGCTCCACTGGCTTTGGACTGGGGTCCGTGGCAGGTTCCGGTGGCCTGGCGGCCTCCAGTCCACGCTGCGGCTTGGCAGCAGAGCCCCGGGCGCCACCACCGTGCCTGACGTTCGGCTTCACACTAAGACGCGCCCTGCGGAACATGGCGGAGCCAGGGGACCCGGGGAGGCGGCTCCACGGCCGCGCTCAGCCCCGATGCCCGGCCACTGCCCGAGAGAGGGCTAGGGCCTACGCCACACACACACACACACACACGGCCACACCACCAGCCCTGCGGGCAGCTACCGCAGTTTCGTGGCCCCGCCACCGCCTCCACGCTCCCGCCACCGCCTCTTCTTCATGACCCCGCCACACTAGTAGCTAAGTTTTTCCCGGCTTCTTGCTCCCCCGCCCGCAGAGAGCGACGGAACTACCTACACTGATTACGTAATCATTCAGCGCCGCCGGATGACGTCAGACCAGGGAGTCGGGAGCCAAACTGCCAAACTACAAAGTTTGGGTTACCTGTGGACTGCCAATTGAGATGCAAAGTTGTGTGCCCTCCTTTTCCAGGCGTCCGTACGAGTTGTTGAAAAGGAGAGGAAGGTGACAGGCAACTTCTCAGTTTAAACGTTTTTATTTTTATTTTTTCTCTTTCTGGTGCTGGAAATGGAACCCAGGACCTCTCATGCTAAGCTTCACCCCTAACCCCCTTATCTCAAATCCTTACAGAAACTATTAAAATCACCTGTTTTTAGAGGGTCCCCAGAGGCAGTCAAAGCGTATGAGACCAGGGCCTAATCACAAGTGTATTCTCGGGATTTAGAAATTATAAAGTAGAACATAGATTAGAAATTGTGAAGAAATTGATAATGGTTACCTCCTTGGAGAGGAACTTAGTTTCTGCGAAACATATCGTGAGATTAAGACCTTGTGTACTTTTAAGTGAGTGTAGTTTTTAAAATGTGAATGTATTGACCATACAAAAATTATTACAGTCAAAACGTTGCAAGTTAATGTATTTTTAATCTCCTTGAGTAGCAACAGAGGGGAAAAAAAAGATGTTGTGGGTTGGGAAGAAGAAAAGGCAACTGATGAACAAGATAATTTAAGAATGTATTAAATGCGGGGCTGAGGATTTAGCTCAGTGGCACCGCGTCTGCCCCTCAAGCACAAGGTCCTGAGTTCGATCCCCGGTACAAAAAAAAGTATTAAATGCCGTAAAAGAAATTTAAAGGGTGATAGAGAGTAATGGGAAGCTGGCCGTAGGGTAGTTAGGGAAGGCATTTATGTTGGGAAGAAAAATAACCAAAGTAAGGTAGGCCCTGAGCTAGAACACAATGTTTGAACCTATGATATAAATGCCCTAATGAAAGAGTTGAAGGGAGGGGAAGAGAATGGGATATAAAAACAATTAAGCTATATTATGTACAGGTACAAATTCCCTATGATGAATGTGATCATTATGTATGCCACGCAGGTACCAATAAAAATTAATTTAGTCATAAGGGCCAGGGATTTAGCTCAGTGGTTGTGCCACCTACCTCGCAAGTGCAAGGTCCCGAGTTCAATCCCTGGTACCAAAAAAATAATTTAGTCGTAAGATATTTGTTGCATTTGTGAAGTAAAGTCCTAGTGGTATCAATAATTTTAAAATTCTCCAGTTTTTCCTGGTAACGTTCTTGTGTACATGTCCATAGTGTGTACCCCTATAACTCAAGAACTATAATATCAGTTGCAAAGAGAAAACTCAGACTGTAAGTGAGAACACAAAAATAACTCTCACCACTTAATTACCAACCCCAAATTCTTTCCCTCTTTAGAGTCCTTAGAGGACCTCTTTATCTCCATAAATAACTAGGTCAGAAAGTCAGTCTTTTCCCCCCGCTCAGGTTTCTCAAGAAATTCACGAAGTAGAGAGAAACAGACGCCTGACCCGGAAGCAGTATTGAGGAAGAGGGGTGGGGGTGGGGTGCAAAGTGTGCTCTCTAAGGCTGCAAGAATAATAGCTAACATATTGAGTGCTACCATGTGCTGACGCTGCACATATGAATTCATTAACGAAGGTACAACTGCTTCCTCAGTTTACAGTTAAGGAACCTTTAACACAATGAAATAATTTCTCCAATTCGGCATGCTATTAATTGGTAAAGCTGGACTTTCAACTCAGATATTCCATCCCAGAGCCACTTTCTCCCAATTTCTCTAAAATAGCTGATGTTTGTTTTAGATGGGCGGGACCACCCTAAATTGCCCAGGCTAGCCTCAATCCTCCTGCCTCAGCTTCCCAAGAGTGCTAGGATCACAGGGGTGCGCCACCACACCCGGGTTTATTAGTAAATTATATAAGGTAGTAATAGTTGAAGTTTGGTCATTGGCCCTTAGGAGTAAGTCATGTTTGTAATTATTTGAAATCTTCCAGAAGAAAACAAATTTTTCAACACCTGGGCAATTTTAGGGTACCCATAATGATAGAATTTTCCATTTGTAATGATAGAATAGGCAAGAAAATAGGCACTGGGGCCGGGGATTTAGCTCAGTGGTTTCGCTGCCTGTTGCGCAAGTGCAAGGACCAGAGTTCGATCCCTGGTACCAAAAAAAAAAAGAAAAGAAAAGAAAAAAAAAGAAAATAGGCATTGGCCTACCTTTCACACCCTTCACCCCCCCACACCCCTGGCACGTGGGGCTTGAACGTGTGCCAGGCAAGCGCTCTGCCACTGAGCTACACCCCAGCCCTTTGCAAGGATATTTACACCTTTGTTTCTAGCGAGAGCAGTTGGTCCTCAGTGTTTACATGGGCTCTGAGGTTATTGTGGGCTCTTCTGAATCCTGCTCTCTTGGCCCGAGAAAGGGCTCTAATATGGGAAATTAACAGGCTCCAGAACCCATGTTAAATTTGATTCTCACCTCTCCCAATTCCTACTTGTGAGGTCAGTGTCATACGAGAACAATGAAGCCCACCAGGCAGGGCTGTGGCTAGAACAAGGAAGGTAACGTCTATCAAGGGCCCACACCGCCATCTGCAGTTAACCTTCAATCTATTCAGTCGCCTTCCTCTCCTTTCCGCCTTTGGAAGGGAATGATCGAAAGCTACCATTCTTTTTGGAAAAGTTAGGTATTGTAGTATTTATTGTTGTTTATTATCCACAACGGCTTGCTAGGCCCGGGTGTTGACACCCAATGGGGAAAATCCAGGCGCCTGGATTCTGGACTCCAGCAAGAACGCTGGAAAGCAGCAAGCGCCACATCCCGTGGAAACGCATGCGCAGGCACTCTCTGGCAACGCCGGCCGCGGGGGGCGGGGCCGCCGGCTGTGAGAGCGGAGGCGTCGCCCCGCTGAGGGCCGCGCGGGTTAGGCCTTACAGATTGACGGGTGGCGGCCGCCGCTGGGTGTGCGAGGGAACCGTTGCTTGTCTGAGTCGCTGTCCTCTAGGCTCCGCCGGGTGGTCGACATGGCCCGTGAGTGTGCGGCCCGGTGGGAGCGTCCGGAGAGGATGCCAGGCGCGGCGTCCGGAGTCCGGCGCCCGGACGGTGGGGGGCTGGCGGGGAAGCCCCACGGCCCCACGGCCCCACGGGGCGAGGACCCGGCTTCCCAGGAGGGCCGGGGGCGGCTCGGGCCGGACTGGAGCTTGGATGAGGGGACGCGGCCGACCTGGAGGTCCTCCTTGTGGTGGCTCAGCGGTGGCACCCGCGTCGATGCCAGGAGGCAGGGGAGCCCTGCCGCGCTCCGATCTCTTTGTTCGGCCCTCGCAGGTGTCGTGGGAGCACCTGCGTTTGCTTGAACCGCCGGTCGTGATGGGCGAGGCGTGGCCCCCGTGTAGCACTCGCGCTCTCCCTCCCTCCCCCTCCCCCTCCCCCTCCCCCCCTCCCAAAAGGCAGAATTTATTTTGGAATGCTGGCACGTTGCACTTCCTGTTGTGAAGATGTATTTATAGCTCGAGGACACCTAGATTGGTGTAATAATACTCTTAAGTTCCGAAAGTTTACCTTTCAGCTTCCTCCTTGCCAGATCTGAGAGGACCTCAGTACTGCTTATCTATTAAAAAGCAAGCTTCGGGGTCCGGGGATTTAGCTCAGTGGTTTCGCTGCCTGCTATGAAAGCGCAAGGACCAAGCAAGCTTCGGATCCTTTACTGGAATTAATAAGTTTGAAGATAGCAAGTGTGACTTTTATCTTTGTAGGTGGTAATCAACGAGAACTTGCCCGACAGAAGAATATGAAGAAAACGCAAGAAATTAGCAAGGGAAAAAGAAAAGAGGATAGCTTGACTACTTCCCAAAGAAAGCAGAGGTGAGTGGTACTGATATAGTTCTCAAGTCACTGAAGAAAGCAATCTGTTGAACACAGGAGTAACAGTAAGGAATACCTGTTGTGTGCCAGGCTTGTGAACACCATATGGATTCTTCGACCCAACCTATGGATGAAGAATTTAGTGCTCTGAAGCTATCATTTATTTTACACGAACTCTCACGAAGCTCCTGCACAACTGCTATTCAGCAAAATAATAAAATGTCTTCCATATGCAAAGCACTGTTAGGTGCTAAAAATATCTTTTCAAAGCAGACAGCCTGCCCAAACCAGTTTGGATGACAAATGACTCAATTAGTCAATAGTGATAACTGTTCTTTAGGACATAATAAAAAAAAGTCTATGTAGCTATATTGACTTCTAAAGATCCATTAGAGCTGGGTATGGTGACACACACCTGTAATCCTAGTGCTTGGGAGGTTGAGGCAGGATGATCACTGTGGGTTTGAAGCTAGCTTGGGCTACATAGTGAGTTCAAGGCCAGCCTGAATTACGAAGCAAGACCCTGTCTTAAAGGTCCATTACATTGCAGAATGCATGTGCTCAGCCTTACTCTGAGATCTTACCTGGTTGTAGCTCAGTGGTAGAGCACCTGCTTAATGTGTAAAGCACCACAGAAGACCTCGTATAACAAGTGATACGAACTGCCACATGAATACTTTCATGATACTATAGCTTAGAGTTTTAAAAACAAAAGATCTATTCGTGTTTGTAAAAAAACTAACCGAAGATTAATTTCATTCTTTTTTTTTTTTGGTACTAGTAATCAAAGTCAAGGCTTCTCCACATAGCTCTACCACAGAGCTGTACCCCCAGCGCTGAATTCTAACATCAAATTTTATTGTCTCTGTGGAACTTGGAAGTTAGGGAAACTGCTTATGCTTCACTGTGGCTTGACAGGGCTTCTCACTCCTGCACTTGTAAATCACCTGGGAAACCCTTGACAGCTACCCAGGCCTGTGCCCCACACCCATTTCTGGTTTAATTGGTCTGAGGTTGGGCATTGAAAAGCATGCTAGGTAAATTATTGTATTCCTTATCATAACTAAAAAATAGCTCCCCTAGCTGGGCTGGTGACACACACTTGTAATTCTACCACAGGGAAGGTATGGGGAGGCAATCGAGCAGTTTGAGGCCAATCCTTTCCCACAAAACCAAAACATAAAAACATTTTAAAATATCCTTATACTTTTTTCTTTTGTTCCAGGGGTTGAACTCGACCTTGCACTTTCAAGGCAGGTGCAGTGCCACTGAGCTAAATCCCTGGCCCTCCTTATACTTTTTTTTTTTTTTGTACTGGGGATAGGACTTGGAACCTTGTATTTGCAAGTTTATACTTTTTTAATCCCCTCATGATGCAGTTATGTAGCCTCATTTGAGACTCATTGCTTAATGAGGTTGAAGTCCTTAACTTTCACTTCACGCTTTCTTTTTTTTGAGACAGGCTCTCACCATCTATTTCTGGGTGGCCTTGAATTCACTATGTAGCCCAGGCTGGCCTGGAGCTCTCATGATCCTCCTGCCTCTGACTCCCAAGTGCTGCGATCACAGGTGTGCACCACCACACCCGGCTACTTCACTCTTTCTTCCAGTGACATTGTTAAATCTATGAAATTTGCCTTGAATTTGTTTCCTCACCTTTGAGTAAAAATGGTATGGATCAGTGACCCTGAAATAGTCTCTTTTATTGGAGAAGTTATTCTAGCATTGTTCAGAAAAAGCCAACTTGTTTTATTTTGTTTGCAAGGCCTCTGCATTGAGCTGTTTCCCCCACACACACACCCCCAGACCTCCCCGGGATTGATCTCAGGACCTTGCGCTTGTGAGGCAGATGTGGAACCATTGAGCTAACCCTTTTTTTTGAGAGACAAACTCCATAAATTGCTACATTGCCCAGGCGGGGCTTAATTATATACTTCTACTTCAGCCCCCCAGAGTTCTAGGACTACAGGTATTTTCCACCATGGCTGGCCAGAAATAGCTATTGTTCACTGAATAGTAAATGCTCCTTATAAAGCTGAGTGTGCAGAATGTTGAGTATATTTTATCTATTCATCGCAGCCCTGGAAAGAGCTATTTCCATCAAATAGGTAGGATATGGAACAGGCTCTGGACTTCAAGAACATTGATAAGGTCATACAGCATGACAGCAAAGCACTGTTTGAATCAGAAAGGTAACTACAGTATCATTTCTTTTCTACTGTGTCTTATTTTTTGTAGCTGTCTTGTTTTTCCTTCCTCCTACTCCTTATTTTTGCTTTTGACTTTGCAGAAATGGCTGTTGTCATGGACAGAGCTATTCAATCCTGAAGTAAAATCTAATTCTAAACTTATGCAGTAACAACCTGGGAAAGAACCTGGTCTTGAAATTGGATAGACCTTGGTATTTATGTGATTTACAGCAGGTATTTGGTCCTGAGCCTTTTTTTTTTCTTTTTTAAATCTGAAACATAAGAATAAGGAATTGCACAACTTAAGCCAGAGCCAATGTTTGATTCACAGATCTTGAAAACATATCTATTTAATATATTTTAAATTATGGGGCTGAGGATATAGAGGCCCTGGAGCATATATGACAGTATATATGCCCTGAGCATATATGAGGCCCTGGATTCCATTCCCAGCACTGCAAAATAAATAGATCCCCTAGACTGGGTACTCTTTCATAGTTCAACTAACATGACAGGTGGAGGTTTACAGAGGGTTGGGCCGGGGATTTAGCTCAGTGGTTCCACTGCCTGCCTCAAAAGTGAAAGGTCCCAAGTTCGATCCCAGGTACCAAAAAAAAAAAGAGAGAGAGACACATAGGGTTAAGAAAGTCCAGAGCACTCGGAAGGCTGAGGGAGGAGGGTCAGCGTGAGTTCAAGGCCAGCTTGGGCTACATAGTGAGCCTGAACTACATAGTGAGACCCTGTCTCAAAATAGAAAAGAAAGAAAGTGCCTGAATATCCTACTTTTCTTTAGAGTAATTAAGTTTTTTGGTGCTTTTTTTTAGTTTTTGTTGGTACTGGGGATTGAACTCGGGACCTTGAGCTTGCAAGGCAGGCAATGGAACCACTAAACTAAATCCCCGGCCCTTGTTTTTGTTTTTAAAACAGGGTTTCATCACCGTAGTTCAGGCTGGTCTTGAACTCGCTCTGTAGCCTAGGTTGGCCTGGAATTTACAGCAATCCTCCTGCCTCAGCCTCCCAAGTGCTGGGATTACAGGTGTGTGCCACTATACCCAACTAGAGTAATTCAGTTTTAATCACTAGACTTCTAAGAAATTGAATAGTTTTATAACATCTGTGTCCTAATCCTAGGTGCCAGGTAAGATATCTAGAAGATCTCTTAAATGCTTCTTTCAGAAAAAAAATTAGAGTAACTAGCCTTCCTCACAACTACAGTAATTACCATTATTTCTGTTGGAAGTTGCCTAATACCACTTTTTTGTGGTGTGGTACTGGGAATTGAACTGGGAGCCTTGTGCATGCTAGGCAAGTACCCTAGCACTGAGCTGCATCCCCAGCCCAATCAAACACACACAAACACATATTTATAGCTATTCCTCTAAACAGCAATGTTTATTGCTCCAACTTTGAAAGAATTTTGAGATTTGCCCAAAGTCATAATAATAGTAGACATGGTATTCAAAATAATATCTCACTGGCAAGCGTGAGGTCCTAAGTTCAATCCCTGGTACCAAATAATAATAATAATAATAATAATCTGACTTCAAAGCCTTTCCATTCCTTCTCCATGAAAACAGAAAGACATGTACGTTTATGAATTGTACTTAATAGGTTATATATAAAAAATAAGTGAATATAAAATCAGTTTTTCGGGCCAGGGATTTAGCTCAGTGGTTCTGCCACCTGCCTCCAAGCGCAAGGACCTGAGTTCAATCTCTGGTACCAAAAAAAAAAAAAAAAAAAATCAGTTTTTCTCTTCTCCCATTATAGGGACTCTGAGATCATGCAACAAAAGCAGAAGGCAGCTAATGAGAAGAAGTCTATGCAAACAGGAGAAAAATAATGACCAGCTCTGGGAAACGTGGGTGCTACTGCCAACTGGTACATCATAAGCTCCAAGATCAGGATTCCTTAGAATGAACAAGCATTACATGTGTTATAACTCATCCTCAAAACTGTTTACCTCAAACTTTGTTTTTCGGCCTTAGTGTGATGTTTTAGAACCATTCTTCAAAGAAAACATCATGCATGTAACATTGGTGAATATTATTTTTATCAGCAAGTAAACATTTGTATAATTAGGTAGTGTGATCACAGAGTAGGATCTCTTCTGTAGAATCTAGACTCTAGTCTAGAATCTGTGTCATCAGTTTTGTTAAAGTAGACCTTTAAAGTAAATTTTATCACACAAGGGCCAGTGCTGTAGGTCAGTGGTAGTTGGTTGCCTGGCATGCACAAGGCCATGGAATGAACTCCAGCACCACCAAAGAAATATGTAATAAAATTTAAGATCCCTTTGTGTAATTTTGCTTTGTAGTCAACTGGCTTGCTTGAAGAATTTATAATAGATAGTACAAATCATCCGGAATACCAACTAAATGGATATGAATTAAATGAGACAACTCAGTAAAAGTTCTTTTGGGTCAGGGATTTAGCTCATTGGTTTCGCCACCTGCCTCACAAGTGCACGGTCCTGAGTTCGATCCCCAGTACTGCAAAAAGAAAAAAAAAATATCTTGGAGAGTAGGTGAACTTTAGACTTTTTAAAACAGTTCTTCTGGAGGCTGAGGCAGGAGGATCAAGATCAGCCTGGGTTACATAGTCCAAGGCCACCCTGAACTGCATAGTGGACCCTCTCAAAAACAAAAACAACTTAGTTCTTATAAATACAGAGAAAAGAGTTTCAAAAGGATATAGTTTGGGCCAGGGATGTAGCTCAGTGGTGCTGTGCCTGCCTGGCATGTGCAAGGTCTTGAGTTCAATTCCCATCACAGGGCGGAGGGGACACATAAATATCAGGATGACTTCTGACCTGCAGTTGACAGGGTCTTGCTACTTTGGTCTTGAACTCCAGGACTCAAGTGATCGACTGCTGGGATTATAGGTACACACGTCAATCCCACATATGTTTGGTCATAAAATTGTCAACCATAGCTATTCATTCAAAACTGAATAAAAACATTTGTCAGACAGTCTCCTGCATCTTTATGTACTCGCGTACTTGCTATATAAGTGAGATAATTGCTATATAATTGAGATAATTACCTTTGGCCAAGTCATAGAAGTATAACAGAATAGAGAATAACAATAAATAAAATGTTCTTCCCTATAAACTCTATAATAATTTAATAATACAGGTTTTTCCTTCTATTTTTGTTTCTTAAAATCTGTTACATAGTGCTAATTATTTAATGCACGTTAAAATTTTATAGGTAGCCTGGTTTTGAATCATTTGCCTGGGAAAATTGAAATTTTTCTAATTTGATTATAGCACTTTTTTTTGTTCTTTTGAGACAGGATCTCACTAAGTTGCTAAATTGCTCAGGCTTGGTTTCAACTTGAAATCCTCAATCTTCCAGAGTCCAGTGATTAGAGCAGCCATAATGGGGATTTTTTTTTTGGCTGTTTTTTATGAGACAGGGTCTTGCAATGTAGTCTAGGCTGCCCTTGAACTCACTGTGTAACCCATCCTGGCCTAGAACTCAAAGCAATCCTCCTGTCTCAGCCTCCTGAGTGCTAGGATTTTAGGTGGGCACCATCACGCCCAGCTGGTTTTTTAAAAACATTTTCATAACCAAATTAGAAAACAATAGTTACATTGTGTGTAGCATAATATTTTACAGCATAATTTTGTAGAACTATTTCTCATACTGCAAGCTACTCTTCCTACTTTAGTTGGATATGACTTTGCTTACTGGTATATCAATGCAGGAACTATTTCTTGCAGCATAACTTTATTGAGTCTATCCTTTTTTTTTTTTTTGGTACTGGGGATCGAACTCAGGACCTGCGATTGCAAGGCAGGCATCGCACCACTGAACTAAATCCCCCACCCTTGTCCAGACTTTCATATGAGAAAATTGCCTGCCAACTAGGCTATAATGGACAGTCTTACTGAGTACTTTGCTTTTATAAACATTTGTTACATGACAGAGACTTTGTCAATGACCTCTTTGTTGTTTTTCAAAATCTCATTTGACCTTAGACCACTCAACATGACAGTTGGCTCATGAATGATACTTTATATGAGACAGGATCTCACTATGTAGTTCAGGCTGGTCTTGAACTCATGGTGATTCTCCTACCCCAGCTTCCCTTGTACTGGGATTATAGGCATATGTCACCACACCTGGCAGTTTCTATTTTAAGAGCCCCCATATCTCATTTATAAAAAATCACCTATATTCGAGAGATGCAAATGAAAACAACGCTGAGATTCCACTTCACTCCAGAAAGAATGGCTGCT